CTGCCAATTTTTCTGCCGGCAGAATCCGCTGGACCCTACTGACAAGCGCTCTATTCAGTTGCTACTCACAATTATTGTGAATAGCAACTGAATAGAGCGGTTGCGAGTTGACAAACCCCTTTTTTCTTTATAATGAAGTTGCGTGATGTCCACCACTTTCTCAGCAAACTACAGGGTTCACTTCTAGAAGTGCAGTTTAATTTAACGTCCTGACCTGGCAGGTTGATACTATGGATGTGTCCTTGTTTACCTGCCGGCACAGAAGTGTGCAGGGAACTGGTCCAGGGCGTCCCATCTCTGGATTTCAGGTCGAATTTCACTAACGTAATTGTGTTTAGTGACTACGTCATCTTTGGATTAGGTTGTCCCATCGACGAGGCTCATGACGACTGACAGTACACTAGTAGTAGTGGTTGAAGCACACAGGGTTTGTGTGCACGCGACACTACGAGGTCGACATTGCCACAGAGGTCAGCAACCTTCCGGTACATGTATGCATGATATGACCAACCACAGTGTACTGTACGGTGTTGGCAACTGAAATCCGACCCCCTAGCGATGCGTTCACATTCTAGCGGTCTCTATTTTCGTAGTTTTACTATCCCGTGTTGGGTCTTTGCGATGTGAGCGCACCGCTCAGGGGTTGGATTTCAGTTGCCAGCACTGTACACCAACGTGAATACTTCAAAACAATGTTATATGGATGTCGTTGCTTTCCAGTCATAACCATGTCCATGAGAACGCGGTTCGATAGTCTGCGGTTTTTCTCGCTCCTCAAGGATCACACGAGCAGCTTTCCAAGAACCCCGGGGATCAACGGTATCTACATGTAGTTGCAGTACATGTACATGCATGTCATGCACATACTAAAAGTAGTTCACCTGCTATTAAAGTATTGGCCGTGGAGCCGCCTGGCGAACCCGTCACCGGATACTGCCCGCGGCTTATAAAAGGCGCGCTTATAAAAGTGCCGACTCGTCCTGTGGCTTGCTGACTAAGCTCTGTCGCTACTGATAAACCTGGCGATTTGTAGGCATATGCGGATAATGCCGGCAGAAAAATTGGCAGAATTCGGTACTTTTTCTGGTAAGTTTCATGCATGTTTGGTATGTGGATAAAGAAATGGAGCAGAATTCGAGGAATTGCCCGCCATAGGGTTTGTATGGTTCTGCCAATTTCACTGCTTATCGAGCAGAATCCGCCACCTTTTCGAGCATTATCCGCACACCCCTAGCGAGTTGACCGCCCTCTGCTAGTGACATGGGCGTGGACGATGATATCGCACCTGACTTGACACTTGACTGACTCACGGGTAACGACTGCAATCTAGAACACACGAGAAGTCCATCGAACCATCGACTCGGCAAGCCTACAACAAAGCACCACTCCCTAGCCCTGCTCAATACACATGTGTTTCGAGGAATTCACCCCTCTTCAGTTGAGCTGGACTCGGCTGGGGAAGATTGTGCCTGAAGAGCACAACTTTTTTTTCTTTTTTTTACAATGATCACAGCTCACAGACTTTTAAAGTACATGCCAGCGCACGCGAAAAGGGCCCTTATGGGATGCACGTGCGAACTGAGAAAATCGCGTTTGAAGTGCAGTGGGTCAAATTTACCGTAGGATTTTGACAGGCCACCGTGATCGATTCTGCACTATTTCCACGGTTTGACTGATGAAATAGGTGTTATTCCAAAATGATCTTGGGGTTTCCAGCTTTCATTTGCAAGTTACCGCGATGAAATTGAGCTACGGAAGCCAAAGTTTCAGCGATTTTGATTTCGTGGGTTGTTCGCACGCGCGCGCGTGGGCAGCTAGCTGCTGGCACGGCAAAGTACATGTACTTCTTTCTTGTTGCGCTTCACTTGCCGTTCCCTTCTCTAGCTCTTCTTGCACTAGCTGGATCAGTGGATGCTCGAGTTGAACATGAGCCGGAGAACCTGCTTCACTGTTGATGCTGCGCTGGATCTTCTTCTCAGAGAAGATGAAGCTGAGTTTTATGGCGATGACGAGTGTGCGAGTGATGGCGCAGGGAGCGAATGTGAAGATAGTTCTGACAGCAGCGATGACGAACGAGAACATTTCCTTGCTGCGACAATCGACACAGCCAGTGCAGCACTGGACTTCATGTCTTTGGACAGCTCGCACGCCGCTCCACAGGCAACTTCTAGTAGCAGTAGCCCCTCTGAAGCCATGCAGACTGGTGAAGCGGCTGAACACAATCGCAATTATTCGTGTGGATGCAGCCTGAATTGTTTTAGGAAGTTTGACGAGGCAGATGTTGAAGTGAATGTGCTGAACACGAAGGAGCTCGAGGGACCTGAGAGTGACCTGATTATACTGGGACTGCTCGAGTCAGGTCGACACGAAACTGCTTTGTCCCACAAGCCAGGAGAGAAGAGACAGCGACAGCGCTTTCGCTATTCGTTCCAGGGAGTGGAAATTTGTGTTGCTGCATTCAGGACTTTGTACGACATCGGTGAGAAGCGGCTAAAGAACTTGAGAAAGCACCTCCATGAGCATGGTGTCACAGCAAGAGTACATGGTAACCGTGGGCGAAGGCCGCCCAATGCACTGGAATTTGCTGATGTCAAGAATTGCCTTGACTTCATCAAGCGACACGCTGATGTCTATGGTATCCCACACCCAGCCCCTCTCCCGGGCGTGATGATGTACCTCCTGTTTTCTTGCCAGCTCACCAGACATACAAAGAAGTCCATGCAGAATTTGTGGCACTGTGTAAGTCAGAGGGATGGAGAGCTATAGCGGAGTCTACTTTCCGCAGCATTTGGCATCAGTGTCTACCACACATCCGCTTCATGACGCCGCGAATGGATGTTTGTGCAGTTTGTGAGGACCTCCGGCGCAAAGTTGTTTCTGCTGCGGGTGAAGCCGATAAACTGATGGCCTGTCGCAATTTGGAAGAGCACATAACGGTGACAGTGATGCTGTGGCTGTACCTATCTTGAAAGTGACTGCTGAGGAGGTAAAGGCTGCTGGTATTCCCGCAACTCTGCCTGCTGGTGGCTTGTCGCAAGCACGCCAGGATTATTTGCACAAGGAGATACGGCCGTTTATTGCTGTGGAGCATCAAGACACTCTCTGCCCTGCCCCCGCTGCTTCTAGTCAGCTCTCGCCTTGAAACTGAGAAGAGAGTGCATATGAACCCGGTCACCTGGTGCTTGGGGAACAATGTTTGTTGCTGTTACTGTAACTTCCGTTGCAACTATTTGCCACAAGCCACATTCTGGGTCCGCTTCTTGCGTAGTACTCCATGGTGGATGACTCCCTAGTTACTGTGTACATAACAAAGATTTCAACAGGTTGTTTTTCAATTTTGTCTTTTGACTGTAACTGTGTACAAATGCTGTACTTCGGCTGAGATATTCTCCATGGCTATTGCAACCAGTCTACTCTGGCTGAATGTCTAGGAGTTTCTTACCCCCCTTATCTACATGTCCGCATTTTCCGTAAAAAACGAGCCCACGGCAGGAGCCGTAACTTTGATTAGAGTTGGCCAAATTGAGTCAAATTTTTTTTATTCGATTTCTACAATCACTGGCTACCTGAAAATGCCATCAGCTGAATTTTGTTGAAAATCACCATAAGGGCCCTTTTCGCGTGCTCTGGCTCGGTCACTATATCGACTACTGCTCTCCAGGTACGAACATGGCCAGGGATACAAAACTTACAGAGACGCTCCATTTCCAGCGCGACCCCGTGAATACCAGATAACACCCTTATAACGTCAGTCAATAGACATGGTTTAGCAGTTTACCGTTCACGCTAACTCCGACCGTCGAGCGTGCTTTGTGTGTTTTCAAGACATTTCGGTTTCTGACGCAACGATTGACTTGTGACGTAACCCGAGTCGGAATCTTTCCGTTCCGTTCTCCCGCTAAAACAGAGCCTTCTATCGTCGAAACGATACCAAACCGACGGTGTTTTGGGTGTTGGGTACGAGTACCGTTGGATTTAGGGTGAGCGGTACAATGCTAACCATGCCTACTGTCGAGAGAAAACGCAACCCTAGACCTGCGAACACTGGGCTGCGGAATGAAGCAAGGCACAAATTCAACTCACGCAACTGGATTTCTTTGAGCAGCAGTGTACATTTTGACCTTTCACTTTGCATTGTACAATATAAAGTGCCTATCTTAATGCCCTTCATACATGCCCTTCGAAAGGGCCGTCCCGCGGCTGCTCTCCCTACCACCATCATGAAGGACCTGGCAGGGCACGACATCCCTTTGAAGAATGCCAGCGATCTAGAAGGAGCACGAGCATCTGCTGCAGACAAGTCGAAATGGAGATCAGACGTTGTTTATGGATGAGTTTTTGTTGACTGGAGACAGAAGCAGACTTGGCTTAATTTCAGTGTATTCTCATGCATTGTTCTTTGGCCTTTGGACGCGTGCTGTGGTATTATTATTATTATTTATATACATGTACGAAGTACCTGTTTCCAGTCACATGTATTTCTCCTCGGATAAGGAGTACCTTGCCCGTTGAGTATTGGTACTGGTTTACCTCCCTTGGAGGTACAGTAAAACCTGTCAAGGCGACCACCTGCCACAGAAGACCACTGCAACCAGGACCGAGCGATGCGATTTCCAGTCCAATGACCCTGGATAAGGAGACCACCTGGTAACAGAGACCACGTTGTGAAGGTCCCTTGAGCGGTCGTCTTAGACAGGTTTCACTGCACGTACACTGTACAGAGTACTCTATGCAGGGACATCAGGAGGCTCCGAGCTGAAGGTTCACTATAGTACTACTGCCGTACTGGACTGGACTAAACCATTGCATGGGTGATTGCAACACGATGGGTGTGTTGTGCATGTTGTTGTTGTTGTTGTTTCTTTATTTTACTTCACCATTATGAACAGGCAAGACTGCCTTCTCACCGGGGCATGTGAAAATCCCGTCCGCAATGCGGGATGTGTTTATCATTTTGATTACTTTTTAGTGAGGGGGGGGGGGGCGGGGGGAAGGGGCTCCAGCGTTCAACGATTGATGAGAAGTCTCAAACTCTTGGAGATGAGAGGAATAAAATAATTGAACTCAAAACAACCAGGAAAAGGCGATAGTGCAAGAGAAAGGAACGAAAGCAATCTCCTGTCAAGATATACAGATGAGGCAAATGCGTACACTTCAAGTATAATTTTTTCATAATTCAGAGATGGGGTTTTACTCAAAACGGCGCCTTGCATGTCACTTCCAGAGATGAAAGACCATCAGATTTATGTATATGCCTGTTCTTTATAGGCGTTAAATTAAAAATATGATAGCATGCACGCGGTTATGATTATAGAAGCAAGTTCGATGATTTTCACCACCGGTCAAAAAATTACATTGCGTTCTCGTTTCTTGACTGCTGACAATACAAACGTAATGACACTCATTCGGTCACTGTTTCTACGTCAAGTTCTGCCAAGGCATGTGACGGTATTCGAGTCAAATGACACTCATTCGGTCACCGTTTCTCAGTGACGTCAAATTCTGCCAGTGCTCGTGTCGGTGCTGGGGTCAAATGATACTCATTCGGTCACCGTTGCCACATCAAGTTCTCCCAATGCCCGTATCCAGTACTTGGCTCAAATGACACTCATTCGGTCACCGTTGCCACATCATGTTCTGCCAATGCCCGTATCGGTACTCGACTCAAACGACACCTGCTTGGTGCTGCCGCGTACGGAACCGGCCGGGGAATGCTTAACGATGGAGCGTGGAGGTGTGGTGGTAGTGGTTGGCGACTGGGCCAGGAGAGAGCTGCACGCCATGGCCTGCGCCGCCATACGCAGGCTCCGCGCCGACAGGTCCGAGCCCTGTCGCGTGAACATCTCCAGCGATGTTGTCTTGGTGACCTTGCCGTGCCCGTGACGATGCAGCACTCGGCCGGTGTTCCCGCCGGACAGGGACAATGAGAGTTCGGAGAGCTGCGGGCTAAACGTGTGCGGGTATGCCGTCTGCAGTACCTTGTCTTCCGGCACCACCGCCACGTCGGACACGTTGCTGCTCTTGCGACTGAACACGCCACTGCAACCGCCGATTGAGCCCGCACGTGTGATGGGAGTATGCGGGGTGGTTCTCGGTTTCCGCGTGGAATCCGGCGACGCCAAACTCTGTATGGAGATGTCCGACGGCCGTCTCAGCAGACTGGCCTCGTCCAGCAGCTGCGAGCAACAGGCCATGGACAGGTCAGACATGCGCGTCACAAACACAGGCTCCACGTCTGTCACCGTCTCGTCGTCGTCCTCCAACAAGGTAGGCTGTATGTAGAAGCTGGCGGAGGACATGTCGGATGATCGGCGCGGCACTAGTGCAGGATGTTTTTGGCACTTCTGAGCATCTTGGTCGGTGCTCGGAATTGCACCATTCTGCAGTTGAGCAGGATCACTGAGATCAGGATCGGAACAGGCAGAGGTACTGACAACGGACGACTTTCTCCTGCTATTGGGAAAGGCAATTTGTCGTGACCTGTCGCCTCCCGGTTTGACCTCGTTCTGGTCAAAGCCGCCGGAGTTAACGTCGCTCCGTGTTCTCACGACCAGCGAGTGCGTGGACGATACACTGCCGCGGCGCGTGGGCCGGAACGAGAGTGACTGCGACCGTCGCAGGCGTCCGTGTGGCTGTTCCCCGGCAGCACCCGCCTGTAGCTGCTGCTGCTGTGCATCGAGATGCAGAGAGACGAGCGACACGGAGTCGGCGCGGAACAGATGCGGCACGGTGGACTTGGCGCTCGGAGATATCCTACCCAGTGACGGTCGTTTCTTCAGCGCCGCGGGCAGACGTTTACGAGCAGCACCTGCAGTGGCTGAAGACGTAGGTTTTACACCCGGTGTGGTGTGATGTGACGTCAAGCTTAGAGCACTCTTTGACTGCTGCGAAGAAGACGACGGACTTATTGTTTGCTTCAGTTTCGGTAGGAACACCAAGAGGATGGTGAACGACGTGGAGAAATGGATCTGAACTGTGTTCATGATTTGCTGCTCGCGACCGGTCGACTGGCCATGACGCGTTACGTACGCCAGTGTCTCAGTAACCGTCAACACCGCTATGCACAGGTAGAGAAGATAGGAGAGTCTGGCCGCCTCGGTGAAGCGGGACGATGCACGCCGCGTACGCACGCACAGCACCAGTCCTCCCACCATTAGCAACAGCTTGCCTAAACAGACAATGAGAAGAGCAGGCGGTGAGAATCCAATATTAACGAATCATGCAGTGGAAAGGATGATTTGGCGTGTTGAGATTGAGCAAATGCATGAAGAGAATGTTCAATTAAAACCACTCTTTATTTCTCGGAGTATGAGGACTCCAGTGAAGTCACTTCAATAATAATGATGTCTACATTTGAACAGAAAGCAAATCGGTTGTTTTCTGCCTGCAAGTGTATTAGAGAGGCCGACGAAACGAGGCCGCCTCGTAAATGGATCTGCTGGTAGACTGTTGCACAAACTCCCAATTTACGGCAGGTCACAGCACGGTTGGAAAATCATTCCGTTTCCAAGAAGGACTTCAACATGGTACCCGCTGTTTCTCAATCACTATCTTTAAACCACACAACTATATCTGCCTGGCCTTTGAGGTATGCTGCACTGAATTTCACGGCCCTGCACCCATGCTGGAAGGGCGGTCTAAAACCCTGGAAGATAGCTAGCTTCCTGGGGAGGACACACCAGCATGGTAGAAAGGTGCTGAGGCCACCCATCAGACCCCCCCCCCCCCTGTCCCTCCTACCAACCCACCCTCTTACCATCCCCAACCCACACATCCTCCTCTCTCCCCACCCTCCTTTATGCCCCCTTGAACACCCTCCTCCTCCCCCCCCCCCACACCTTCCTCTACGCCCACCTCAACCACCCCCCCCCCCACACACACACACCTTCCTCTACGCCCACCTCAACCACCCCCCCCCCCCACACACACACACCCTCCCCCCCCCCTCCCTCCACACGCACAATCTCCTCTACGCACACCTCCTCTATCCCCCCCCCCCCCTACGTACCCACACACCCACTCTCCTCTACCGCCCCCCCCCCCCCCACATACACCCTCCTCTACCCCCTCCCCCCTCGCACACACACGCTCCCCACACAACCTCATAAACCCCATAAACACCCCCTCCTCCACCCCCCCCCCCCTACACATATCTGGTCCCCCACATGCACATACCCTCCTCTACACATACCCTCATCCTCTCTCCCTCCCTCACCACACATGCACACACACACACACACACACACACACACACACACACACACACACACACACACACACACACACATGCAACCTCCTCCTCCTCTTTCCTCTCCCCTCCCCCCCCCCCCCCCCACGCACCCACTCTTCTCTACCCCCCCCCCCCCACACACACACACACTCTCTCTCTCTCTCTCCCTCCCTCTACACCCCCCCCCCCCCATAAACACACCCTCCGCCATCCCCTCCCCCCCCCCCCCTCCACACACACGCACACACGCCACCACACCGCGTAATTATACCCTCTTACTCTGAGGATATCAGGGGATTGCGGGCGCTGGGCAGTTCAACAGCATTATTAGTCATCTTTCCAGGATTCCGTTTCATTTCGAATCGCCTTCCCCTTTCCCAAGTAAATCCATGTGACCTGTTTTGGGCAGGGAGCATAATTGTACCGGTACACATGTGTTTGTGTGTGTGTGGGGGGGGGGTGCATGGACGAGTGTACGAGTGTGTGATGCAACCCAACCAGTTCTCTCACCTGCGAGAAGGCCATATCTGAAGTTTCCCTGGTGGCAGCGGTACTGATACGCCTGGCCGGGCACCAACTGCAAGCGGGGTCTATCCACCAGGACCCACAGCAGCTGGTACCCAGCCATGGCTGCACATATGACGACCAGACGCAGCAGCAGGGCCCGGTTCCCGAGTGAACGCTGCACGAGCACGGTGGCAAGGGAATCGGGTGCGAGGAGCCGGCTGATCCTCCACATCTTGACGAACAGTGCGCCGTAGAACAGGGAAAACCCCATGCTGTGGAGCACGGCGCTGAGAACGCAGCTGTCCCAGACATCGCGGGACCGCTGATCGTGCCAGCGTGTTTCCGACGCGAACATCATCGCCGCACCGAGCAACGAGGTCATGAGAAACGGCCAACTGCTCGATAGCATGACGGCATTGCGGCGGTGTAGAAACACCATCACCGATATAAGAATGGTTGCTGCAAGTGCTGCCAGGTTGAGCGATGACATGAGAAGCATGGCGATGGTGTCGCCAGGGTTACTGCAAGGCTCGCCGTTCGAGCAGCGGACGCAGCTGGAGTGGCACGGCATGCACGCAAACAAATCGCGGGCTCGCCTTTCGGTTTCAGTGCCCGGTGGCGGAGCAGATCTGCGATCGTTCACTAGACGCACATGTGCGGTGTCCGTTTCAGCGCCAATGCCCGCGACTGGCAGCGGTGGTGTCTCCGCTTGATAACTCCCCGTCGCGCAAACACATTTACGTGGCCGTTCCTCTTCCTCGACGCACACCATACTCTCCGGGCAGGCATCGAGGAGCAGAGATTGATTCCCCGGCGGAACAGCACATTTCGTAGCAAGGTAACGATGCACGGATACGACCAGTTCGATGTAACCCACCATCACTATGGGCTTCTCTCTGTTGCCGTAAGCATGTGTCACGATAGGCAGGCTTATGTTTATCGTGCCGAGGCGGCCATGGCTGATTGAGATTGGCGATATCACCATCATACTTGACGCAGCACTCGAGAGACTCAGCCCTGGAGCGGCCTTCGCTGGGACTGCGTTCAAGACCTCAAGCCATGGCCATCGCCTTGTGCTGACCGTAGTGGTTGTCGCACTGGGCATGGCAAACTTGCCTGTATGCTTCTCTCCATCTTTGCAAATAGGCCGGACACTGCTACATTCTAATAGGGAGCTGCTGTCACTCACAGCACGGCACATCTTGAATTGCTCCAGGTCGTGTTCGTGCTGCTCGAGAACGGTCATGAATATCGCCTGAGTGACAGGATTACGCAGTGAGAGACTGCTGATGCGTGAGGTTGCACGTGATTGGATCCCGCCATGGCTGATGTCGCATTGTGATTGCACTTGGTGCGTAGCAGACAATCCGCTGGCAGCGGTTACGCCACTCCGAATCAGACCAGCGTAGAACCGGCGTAGTGGCTCGGGGTCAATGTTCGCAACGCCCTCCTCGAGTGCAGCTGGTCTTTTCCCTGCTGCTTTCGTGTCGCCGCCTGCAACATCCAAACCATCAACATCGTGCTTGTGGCGGCCGGAGAACGTTTCATCTTTGGCGAGTACTTCATGTTGCACAGAGCTGCTCTCAGTGAAGTCACCTTCCAATGCCACTGCAGGATCTTTCAGTGATGTATCTGCTGCAGCTGCTGCTGCTGGTACCGGGGAAACAGGGCTTGCTAGTGCCACTAGTGAGCTTAATGACAGTAACAAACATAGCACCGGGACGCTAATGCTACTTGAAGGCCGTACTCGAGGCTTTGCTGGCAAGCGTCTTGCACACCATGATCGAGACTTTGCTGGCAGGCTATGTGTACATGTACACCATATGTGAGACTTTGCGGGCAAGCTGCTCCGGGAGAGAGCGAGAGCATGCTGTGTGTCTTGTCGCCGACATCCATATCCAGGTCTGCTAGAATGGCTGTCATATCTACATCGCATGCTGGAGAAACGGATATCGGAAAGTACGTAAATTAAGATATAAATGAAACCTCAGTAAAAATGTACCTGCAAGGACCATACAAATCTGTACTTTGTAGTGTTAAGGTGCTGCTTAGTCAAAGTCAACTAACTAGTATAGTATTGCATCGCAGGGTCCTATAATATTAATAGTACGTTTACTCAATATTCATACGGTTCAGTGAGGTGAAACAGGGAAAGTCCCAGCACAAAATTGACTGCCACCACCAGGACTCGAACCGGGGGACCCTTGCTTATGGTTGGCAATGCTCTACCACTGAGTGAATTCACTGAGTATGCCCGTGAATCGATTCATGAATCCGCTCATGAATCGCCCCTGGCTATTCACATTACAACATGTGAATAGGGTGCATGGATTCCGAACCAATTCCAGGGCTCATGACATGAAATCGAACGGCGAAATTGAACGGCGAGATTCCATTCATGAATTGATTCAAGTGCATAATCGAACACACTCACTGAGTCGTCACCCCTAGTCAGACTCAGTAGTGTGAATTCCACCAATACTTGAGATTGGGCTCTTCACCAATGCATTCACACCATTGAAACAAATTATAGGACACATCCACCAGGGTTCTAGTATAAAGTAGGTCAAAATAGTAGTGGGCGGGCAGGGGGCGGGCAGGGGGCGGGCGGGGGAAACAGTTACCCCGTAACCCATTTTCCAAAATTGTCTTACCATGCCAAAATCAACGTATGGGGTCGAACCCTCGACTTCACCCCAGACAAATGTGCCTTTATGAACCTTCTAGCAGTGACTAATGACTATCAACTGCATTTTCGTTGAATGGCAGGAAAAAACACAAAATCAACAAATGAGTAGGGGAGAGGGTGGGGGGGGGGTGCTCAATCAGAGTAGGAGGGTGCAAAAAAGCATTATGTAAAGCATTAAATAATGAAAAGCCGAGCATTACCCGCTGACCCCTAATGCAGAGTACAACCCCAGCTTTTCCACTGCTAATATGTACATCATAGTCGCATGCAAAACCAATGAATGGGCAATGAAAGGGATTACTTAGTGGACGTCAAGAATTGGCAGGCTTTCTGGCTCTACTCTACTATCACACACCTAGACAGTCATCAACTAAGATGTGTGTGGGCTTCACACAACTACATTCACCCCTTTTCCCATATTTTTGACGATTATCAAAACAGACAGCTTTATTCAAAATGGAACTCGGATGAGCCAGTATTAAAAGTACAGTAGAAGAAGAAAACACATGAGAACGAGTTATGAAGCAACTATCCACGACTGTAACACGACTGTAACAAGATAATAAGCAATCAGAACCTTCCCCTCTTTGGTCCTACCCAACCTCGAACCTTCCAAGTTGGAAGGCTGTTGGTTTGCACGCTGGAGATGCGCCAGAGCTGGGTCGTTGAATGTCTCAGTAGCCTGTCAGTTTTGTGCCCTGTTATCGCACTTTCTGAGTACTCATTATCTTGTTACAGTCGTGGATAGTTGCCTCATAACTCGTTCCCATGCGTTTTCTTCTTCTATTTTACAATTATTCAAAATGTAAGATGAAGTAGCGACGACCCGGCCATTATGGAATCCAATACACCACACCACCACATTGCGCTCTTGGCCAATCCAAACTCTGCACTCACATCACCATCACCACAGCGAGGACAATTCCGGTAAAATTATAGCAATAAAAATGATTTGAGTGCGCACTCATTCTATACACACATCAAGGCGAAGGTGGTAGGTAAGTTCCGAGAGCGTTTTCTTCTGATTGTCATCAGTTGGATTAACATCACATTGTTGATATGAAGCACACACATACACCACCACCCACCACAAGAAATCGTTCTTGGAACTTACCTACCGTCTTTGCCTTGTTGAGTGCATAGGACGAGTGCGCAGTTGAGCATTTTTATTGCTATAATTAAACTGTTTTCTCCGCGTAGGTTATTTTCATTCAAAATAACTTACTTTGCTTTTAATATTTACGGGCGGAGCCAGTTGTAACGCTAACAAGGCCATTTATACACTTACTTCTGAGACCCGAGAACGTGGCAATGCTGTGACAAAGCACAACGGCGCCGATTTCATTTCTCCTCTCCGACTAAATTAAAAATCCCTATTCTAACTACTTGTAGAACGTAGAAAGTACCTCCCTAGGGGAATAGACGAAAGCTTTTCCAGGAGTTTCCTAGGCGGAAGTCCAGGCTTCAGAAAAAGCGATCCCCGTGCTGGACCAGGGTTGAAAGTCTGCACAGATAGATAGCTTACCTGCGCCCGAAGTTCTCAAGGAACTAGGCCTTCAACGGTGCAAGCGCTGCTAGCCAATCTCCAACCATCTCTCCGTCAGCGACATTGCTCCCCATCTGATAGCGAACTCCTACCGTTGGCAAACTTTGTGAATGGCAGCATGCATCATGATATTCTAGGCCAGAGCCGCAAAGCTTGCCACACCACAGTCGCTGGGATTGCGAACGAAAAATGGGCCAGTTCACAACTTCTGGCGACGTTCCTCAGGTTTCGGCCCTGGAACTGAGTACATAAGTCATTGTCACAAACCTAAAAGCCTTGCAACTCGCTACACATTGGCAATTTAGCAGACGAGCACCTGGGGCGATAAGCCCGTGGAGTGGAGCCAGCATAGCCAGGGCTAGGGCGCGAACACAAATCTACAAGACTACATAATATGACTGCAGCCTGATGCACCATGGAGTACTTGCGCTTATTCAGCAAAGCAACCGGAAGACCTTGAGCAAATAATTGCGCTGGCGGAGAGCGGAACAAAGTTATCGACGGCCCCGTGGCCCACACGAGTTCTTGGGTTCTCCTATTCAGTGCTAGCGTGGCACGAAGTCTACGCTCCGTCTCAAACACTACCCTTCCAGTCTGTTCCAGATGGGAACTTGAAGCAAGTAGGGTTCAATGTGAAAGTACGCGCCACCGACGCTGACCTTCGCGCGTGGGGTTGTAGTCTGCAGACGCGAGAGCTACTCCATTGGTCGGAGTGGCCGTGGGGGCCAGCGGAAATCATCGTTCACAGGTTGAAAAAGATACCGCCATTCAGCTCAATCTGATTGCACTGCCAGAAACAGTGAACATGGTGAAAGGATCGATCAGGCGAGTTCGAAACAGCCAACGCACGAGGAAGCACTGTGATAAAGTGTCTCCTGTAATCTAGGACAGAGGTGCCATGGCGCGTAGATCTACGCACGTCGGTATTCGCACCTCACTCGAGTGTCAGCTGATAGACAAGGCCGCCGAAGCGCGGCGCGGATTGGAGGGACCAAGGGACTTGGCCAGCATCCGCATTTGCAAGATGCCGAGCAGCGTGCATTCCTGCGTGTTCTCCGGGTTCAGAGGTAGGCTTCGGGGCCTGTGACAGGACAACAGACTCCCCTCGGGCACATCGTGTGATCATGTCAGTAAAAGAGGAATACTTCCAAATACTCAAAAAGGGGTAATTTGGGTTGGGAATTCAAACGGGAGCGAATAGGATTATGCTAGTTGCCGCTCAAAGAAGGCTTCAATTCACACGCCTGTTTTCTGACGTTTGCCTGTATTCCAGCCTCACACCCATTCCAATCTACAACTATCAAGTAGTACTAGAGCTTGGTGTGGTGGTGGTGGTGGTGGTGGTGGTGGTGGTGGTGGCTCGCCGATGCGAAAGCCTTCGCTTGAGCGTTTCTCAACACTTGGTGGGATATTACATGGTACCAGCGAGTACCTCGCTAACTTTACTTCGGCTGCAGCCAATCGACGACCAAAACGTTACGCCGGAGGCGATGCCATTGATGGGTGACTTCAAGGATCGTTTTTCTCGCCAGTTCCAGTTAAAGTTTGGCATCCAGAAGGTTTCATCACTAATAAGAGAAGAGAAGAAGAGTGGCGTGTCAACTGACAAGCGCTCTACATAGCCCAGTGCTACTCGCTCAAATTCTCACTCAAACTCAAACGCAACCTATCGAGGATACAGTCTAGAGGGTTGGCAGTGGACAAGCGAACGTTAGCCATCTTTTCTAACGAGCACAACGTTGCACAGAGTCCATCAACTGTAATTCAGACTACACCCTGGGGAGAATGCTCTCTGGTGACGTTTGATCGCGAGATCGGATTTCGCTCGCACAAGCGATGAGGTCCATCACCTAGGCTAGGCTGCCTTAGGGATTGCCATTGTATCACACATTTTGAAGGATCCTGGAGCTTTGCGATACATGTACAATGTACATGCATGAGGAAGAGAGAGGGTTATCAGTATTATCACATCACATTATCACTAATCTTGATATTACTAGTATCACTTCGTATTATCCCCGGATTAGTTTAACGCGGTATGTTGTACTTCGTGTGTGAAGTATGGACTCGGATAGAGAGCCAAGGATAAAATTTATAGAAAAGAGGTAACAAAGCTTCCAAACTCTCTCTGTTGTGTACAAGGCTCTGCCCTACATGGGCATTGAGCACTCTTCGGACAGTGAAGCACACCACTTGACTAGAAAAGAGGAAAGCAATGTTATCGCATGAGCTGATTGTTTAGCAACTGGTGGTGTTAGTGCACATCATTATCGTAACTCGTACATGTAATTCCTTGGTCCTTCCTCTTTTCAGTATACTGTATTTGGTCCATTTGCATGGCCCTATCCTTTGCCCCTAACTTAGGCTATCCTTTGCCCCTAAGGCGTACAGTTATGCTTCTCCTTTCGGTGATCTTCACTATCTAAATGTGCATGTACATGATAAGCCATTCAAAAAGATAGCAATCATCACTGACGAGATCTCCATGGTCAAAACAGCTGTATGCAGGAACTGAGTACCAACGGAAGTGTTGCTTTCCTGATGGTGTGCTGTGGCAACGTGTCGAGGTCGGGCGGAGAGTGATGTATGGTGGTTGATGTACTTCGAAGTAAAATAAGTTGTATCAGAACCCGTGTAGCGATCAGGCCGTTGGTACGTTTCGAATTTCCTTCACCTCTTTTCCATTGACGTCCATGATCCAATACAGCCGAAAACAGAAAATAGACAGGTTAAGACGCACGTTATTTCTGACGTAACGCGAAAGTTCAGCTCGCGTTATTTGGCTCTCGAGATCTCGCGTCGAAAACCAACGCGAGTGACCTGCATGCAGGCTGCAGCTCACGTCGAAATTTGGAGTTTTACACCAAATTTGACGTGAAATTACTCGTCACGTCGGAAATAACGTGTATCTTAACCTCTTTTAATGTCTCGTTTCTTTCTGAATTTCTTTGTGGCTGTTCTCGACATCCTGCCGGCGCGAGACACAGCTGACAGGGTGGGGGAAATCTGGCCGTGTCTGATCCAGGTGACGTTCGACCCAGTTTGGAGTACATTGTACTGTTGAGGGAACGAACTAAACGAAATTCAAAAACAAAACAAAAACAAACGTGCAAGCCAGCGACTAGCCAGCGACACTAGATCAGTCAGTGCCTAGGAATGCAGTGCAGGTCTACATTCAGTGAAAGATCCTGTTTCACGCGGTTGTCGCTCCGCTTCCGACAGTGCGACACGCCACATGTTTGCTGCTTGTACCAATCCTTCTAAAAAGGACAGTCACGCGGACAGACGTGTCGTCGCAACATTTCGCCGCCCGCTTTGAGTTTTACTTCGAAGTATTAGTACATCGAAAAGAAAGATACTCAACGCGTCCTTCGCGGTGTAGTCTGTGCCATGCAGTGAGTTCTGGCAGCTGGAACGCGTCAGTCCACAGTCTACAAAACAAAGTTGGCTGTTGTACTAACTTGTAAGTTGTAGTGTCGACGGGCGGTTCAGTACGTCGTGTGATGTCGTAGACGGGTGTAAGACCTTTTTGCCTTTTTTGTTCTCTTGCATGGTATAACGCATCATCAGTGGGGCGACGTAGTCTACGGCTGCCGTAACAGCTGCGCTTGTGACGTAGGTTCGACCTGATCAATGACAATAGGGAATCGTTCATACTCAGACTTATAGCTACATTAGCAATCCTTTGAATGTACAGTCAACAGCTGATAACACACAATCATGCAGCACATGGGATAACTATGACATGCATATGCGCATGCCATCGCGTCGCAGCTGATCAAGTAAGGCCTACAGAGGTAGAGGTTGTGCGTAAATCACAGCTGATCGAGTCAAAGGTCGGTTGGAGGCGAGGGCGGCGACGACAGCAGGCGACCATGCAGATGGACCCCGCGCCTCGTAGATCTGCGCTCGTTCCTCGTCTCAATAGCCATTGGCGGCATTGCTGATCGCAGATTTTGGTTTTCTCTTTCATTAAGTACATCTACGTGTATGCCTCTGCATGTTGCTGCCTACCACGACTTGCGTTCACACTGCCGACAAGCTACAGTGTACTAGTGCGGTATGCTCAAACCATAACTCATTAGCTTGACCGCCACGCAATGCTGTAATTCTCGCTTCACGCGCTCAACTGGTTCTTTCCTTCTCGCTACACGCTCAAACGATTCTTTCCTTCTCTCCCCCCCCCCCTCTCTTTCTCTCTCCCATTGTTGTTGATCGTGATAGCTATAAGCAGCTTGTTTATCAATGCAGATAGTTCTCTTTTGCTGCTGCTGCCCTTTGACATACTTTGCGCCCCGAAGACCGGAATGCGTATGGGATACAACCATACGATCTCTTTATTTGTTGCGTCTATCGAGCTATGAAGATGTGGTCGGCTGAGCTTGATGAGCCCCTCCATCACACTCCTTTATTCACTTCAGTGCCTGGAGATACGTGGATTTTGTAGAGAGAGGAAAAGTGTACGTCAAGTACCAGTGACTAGTACTGACTATCACATGTACATGTACTGTAGCAGCATAGCATGTTTTTGTACTGGAGCAGTCAAAGTTCATTAGGACGAACACCAAGAGACCGATATGCGATGGTATTACATTTTTTCTCAATAACGGGAGTTCTCCATATTTATAACCTGTGAATACACAGGGAACTGTCCATTGGAGTTGTGAAAACTAGTTCTTCTAAAGCGAACGTTTGTCTTAGCAGCGTTCTTCTTAGCGAGGGTTCACTGCACAAGAACGAGTTTATCATCATGGGGGGCAGTAGGTATATGTAGATTTCATTTCCAATACACAAAATTTAATCACAATGCATGGTGGAAAACACCCATCCGAGTGCCGCAGAACCGCATGAGCCTTGGCGCTGCTGCGTTCGCCTCAGTCGTGGGCGGGATTTCTTTGGCCACGACTGTACTTGGCTGATTGGTGTGAATTGTCGGTGGTGGTCATGATCACATTCACATGATGTGTATGCCACAGTATGGACGTGCACAAGCATTCTGATCTCGCCGCAATGTTGCAACTAATACAAGCTAGCGGGTGGGGAAATAGCTGCAGCGTGCTAAATTACTGCTAATACGAATAGGGTGCTATTCGATATTCGCTCGTCATACCTCGTTGTGGCCTGATGACACTTCCGCTAGTTGACAAGCAAAGGTCGCACTCGGCATGAGCCAATGTGGATTTCACTCACATTCTGTGCCACAGCACTCATTACTACATTTAGCAAGGAAATAGTCAACGTCGACTCATTCTTTATTGGCGGGCAGGAGAGTTCTTCTCTTTGTACCTTGTTCATGCTTGTCTTGTCCTGTTCCTCCTTTTCTTATACAGGTATCACTATCTTCAACATTTTGCGAGAACTGTGGCAATACCCTAAGTGAGAAGGCAGATTTTGCTTGTGCTTGTGGTGAAGTAAAATAAAGCTAAACAAACAAACAAAAAAGAGTGCATGCAAGGCGGCCTATCCAGGTTGGGACATCCTGCATGAGGGTATACATAACAAAGCATGCAAGAATGTAGTACCGGTTACGGGTACCTTCAAATTTCTGTCCAACATGCCTCCAAGATCTATGTGCCAAGACCACAAGCTCCAAGCACAGACCTTTTCAAGCAGGGATTTCTAAGGAGGTTGGGGATTGAGCAGATATAGCCTGGTGCAGACATTAGTACCCAAGCCAACACGTTGACCAACTCGTTTGGACAGCTACCAGCGCATAATAATTCTGATTCTGTACCTTCATCCCACCTTCACCTTGATATGCATCATCACCACCATCAATATCAGAAGCCTGCGCCACAAACTGCGTGATGTTCTGGATCTTGCTGAAGGAACAAAATCTGACATACTTGTAATTTGCGAAACATGGCTGGACTCATCCGTCACTCCTGGCGATCTCCACCTCCCAGGCTATAACTTAGAAAGGCTAGATCGCAGCGGAAATGTTGGTGGTGGAGTCTGCATCTATTGGAAAGCTGAACTCAACTGCCAACCCAGGCCTGATCTCGTTTCTCCAGGCATAGAATGCTGTTGGACTGAAGTGAAAACCAGCCATCAGTCATGCCTGATTGCGAGCTTATACCGGCCACCAGGGTGCACTGTTTCATACTGGGACTCCTTTGAAGCCCTGCTGAGTGAAGCCTGCAGCCCAACGACGCAGACAATACTTTGTGGAGACTTTAATGTTGACACCAGTCGCAATTGCAGTAATCATATGCGGCTGGCTGATATTGCTACAAGTTATGGACTGCAGCAGCATGTACGCAGCCCCACTCGTATTGGACTAAGAGGACCACCAACTACAATTGACTTAGTATTATAGCACAATGGGATGTGCTTCTCCTGCTACGACTCATGCTATCTCCTTCAGCGGACGTGTCTTCTAGGAGAGCCTGGGAGGCATTCAATACGTCAAGTGAGAATCCAAGTTGGCAGGAAAAGCGCGAGCTCCCAGCTAGGGCTAGGGAGCGACGCACAATTATTCCCTTTTTTAAGCATCGAAGTCAGAGTGCTCTAACTGCGATAAACACAGCGAGCTTTGCACGAGCCTCGGACGGCAGACAACGTTGACGCTAACCCGAAAGAGTGCTCAACGAAGCGGAGGCGAGGGAGCCGCGAACACTCGAGTAAGAATTCATTAGAATAGTATTATTATACTTTCCGTTGATACTGTTCCACGGCATTGCTCGTGTGATGCGGGAGACGCTTCTGCACCAGCTAACAATGCCCGCAAGCCCTGTATACAAGAGTTGCCTGGGAGGCTCACCACACGGAGGACCAGAGGAAACGGTTTAGGACGCTATAGCTCAAATGGTCTGCACCATGCACCACAGAGATCGAGGAAGTCGCCGGAAATCCCTTGCCGGTCGGCCATCATGTTTGTGTAGTTCAACGCCATGCTCGCTTGTTGCTGGCGAAACGGTGAGTTTTTGTGTGACAGAAGGCAACCAGTTTCCGGAGAGGAACACGGTCAACGACACGACTAGCCTGCGGGGAAAGGCCTTGAATTGTATGGCGACGAATATCGGGTA